CTATGCCAACGTGCATATTTGCAAAAAATGTCAATAGTTAGATCCCTAATGTACATTAGGGTGTCCCGTGGACCACTATTTTGGATGTATACCTATCAAACGATGTGTCTTAATGTACTACATCCGAAAAAAAAAGGTCCTCAGTTCCCTATCTGATTGAAAATATTGATCTCAGTACAATATGTATTTTTGAGCTTATCGCTGGAAAAATAATTAATATTTTTGTTAGTGTATTTCTGGTCCACAAAACGACTTTTATTGTATTATAAGGGCACATAAATTTCAAAAAATCCTTAAAAAATCTGAAATGGACTAAACCAAATGCCAAACTATTTTTTAAATATTTTTCTGTATAAGCTAAAAATTACGACAATTTTGACACCCATTTCGATAAAAAACGAAAATAATATTCCTCTCCAACCCACTAAAAATCATATTGTGGACCAAAAATATTCTACAAAAATTTTAAAATTATTTTTCCCGTAATCAGCAGAAAATTACGGAATTTTTGACACTCATTTTGGAAAAATCGAAGACATTTTATTTTTCAAAAATTATACTAAGGTTAAAATTTTAATCGCTGGTTGGGAACTTTAGACCACTCGAAAAAAATTATTTTTTATTTTTCTCGTTTTCAGTACATTAATGCGCATCGATTGATTTCATACATGAAATTCTTAAAAAAGCTGTTCCTCGGGACACTCTAATGTACATATTTATGTAGTTCGGCCATAGCCGACTATACTTTCCTATTCCTTTTTTTTTGTTTAAGTGTGTGTAAGCATATATTTACAAAATATGTATATATTTTATAACCTAAGAAAAATGTTAAAAATTTCCTATTTCATTTTACATACGAAAAGGACAAGGTAGACAAGGTTTTATATATTATCAATGGATTGGAAATGAAGTACAGTTGTAAGAAATTTAAAAATTTTTTGTCAATTAAGAAATTCGTGAAATATTTTTTTAAAAAATGTAAAGTATATTGAATTTTTTGCGAAGACATACATTTTAAAATTTAAATAAAAATTATATTTATAAATATTTTATAACTACATTTTACAGTTATATAGACATTTTCATTGAGTTTTTTCACAAAATGAGGCTTTAAGTATTAATTATTACACCATTTTATAGCAAAATCGTAATGTCTACAAAATTGTATTTCCAAAAAGATAGAAAAAACTCAAAATTGGTTAAAAAGGTTATTAATAATTCCCCCGAGAATTTTATGATTCTGAAGACACATAAAAGTAAATATATGATTTTTTTAATTTCGAAAAATGTTACAAAAAAATATTATATTTATCTTTATAAGATTCATAAGTGTGCTAGTACTAATTTTTATTGAAATTGGATAACGCTTACTCGGTTTAGTCTGTGGTAAAAAAGGGCCATTATTTTAACAGCATCTCCAAAACTCCATTTTCCAACTTTAAAAAATTTTGTTAAATGGATTTTTAAAAATTAAAGTTTTCTTTACTGGATATTATAAAAGATATATATAAGAATTAAACACAAAAAGAATGAGATCAATACCTCTCATAGTTTTACCGTACCTGTCATGTGAAGTTGAAGGATTTCGGGAAAAAGACAATTTTTGCCAATAATTAAGTAAACATTATATTCTTACCACTTGTTGCTTAATTTTGATCAAGTAAATTGTGATTATTATTTCCGAATCAATGGAAAGTTATTTCTGATCAAATTTCCGAAATCATTAACCTTCTAAAAACCAGGGTCAAAATCAAGTTTTTGTATATTTTTCAATAGTAATAGCAAAATATTGTGTATTTAGGTATGGATATATTTTGACAAACTACACGAAAATATATCCAGAAATCTAGGAATCATCTTAAAAAATAAACCCTCTGTCGTGCTTAGGGTCAAGTCAAGACTTTTCAAAATAAATTTTATAAAATAAATTTTCTTAAAGAATTAATGGATATATGTCCAGTATTTATTTGGCATATCGTATATTTCAATGTAGTAAAAATAACTTCTAAAAAGTTTCATCAATATCCATCTACAAATTAACAACATCATGCTCTTATTTCTTCAAAACATAAAATATTCCAAATTTTGATGAATTTTTGTAGTACATTCACTATAACATATGTGAATTTTTAACACATTCTGATGAAAAATTTAGTAAAAAGCATGTTAATCAAACACATATATTTCAATTTTTAATACATTTTGAAAAAAATCTTTTTTACGATATAGGTTGTATGGGGGGTGGGAGTGTCCTTGCACCGATTATTTTGAAATTCAGGATTGAAAAATGTAGTCACAAATACGTTTTTACGATTTAGGTTGTATGTAGGCTTGCCAGACGTACTGTTTTCAGCAGTACGCGTACTTCTTTTTTGTAATTGTACTTTTAACTGCATAACCCCTAAAGAAGTACGCAAATGTACTTCTTTTTAGTACTTGTACTTCTTTTTGTACTTCTTTTTTGAATTTTACCATAATTTTATAGATGTAATCAAATATTCTATAGAATCGCTATTTAAGGACTTCAGAGATACATAGTTTGAAAGTGGATTTACTAAGCTCAGAAAGGCAAATTCAACTATAAGAGGTTTCGATGCATTTGTCATGCATGAAATAGTGCGTTTATTCAAAATGCTTTAAAGTTGTTAAATTTTGATTAAGATATCACTGTAATGAAAGTTTTTAATGAATTTTCGGCATAAAAAAGACTGCAAATGTGAAGGACATGTTTGAATGTTAAAATGTAATGCATAATGCTCCGTCGTGTAGGTACCTATTCGATAGCTTTATCCAGTCCCGCTGTGGAACGATTTTTAAAAAACTATACTGCCATTCTTATTTTTTGTAGCAGGGTGGCTAATTTTTCGAAAATTAGGTATCTGAGGATGTTTGAAGAATGACAAATTTGAATAACAGAGTAAAAGTTGTAACGTTTTGTAACAGTTAGAGATAGAGAATTTTTATATTTTACTGGACATTTTTTCTCCATAAAAAGATATCAAACATATGTTCACAACAAATGGTTGATATTTGAAAATGTAAACAAACCAAACGAAACTAAAATTTAGGGAATTTTACACTTTTTAAAGAAAATATATAAATTAATAGCACATTAATATTAAAAAAAATGATTTGTAATTGGATTAATTTTATTGTCATAAATTAGTTTTATATAAGTTTTTTTGTGAAAAATCGTAACAACCAATGTAAATATAGCGTTTTTAGAACAATTTAATTTAATTTTTTTGCAAATAAACTATTGTACTTTTTTTATTCAATTGTACTGCTTTTTTAACTACGATGTACGTTTTTTGTTGATTTCAAATCTGGCAAGCCTAGTTGTATGGGAGGTGGGAGTGTCCCTGCTCCGATTTTTTTTAATTCAGGATTTTTGTGAATAGTGCTACCAAACACATATGTATATTCCAATTTTCAATATATTTTGACGAAAAATGTAGTCACAAACACGTTTTTACGATTTAGGTTGTATGGGAGGTGGGCGTTTCCCTCCTCCGATTTTTTTAATTAAAAATTTTTATTAATTAGACCATCAGACACTACCCTACTAAATTTCATTCTCCTGCGATCACCCGTCAAATTTTGCCGTCAATTATACCCTCAAAATATTTGAACAAATATTTTACAGTCTTCCATTTGCCGTTAAAATTCAACATAATTTCACTATTAGAAGTTGATCGGAGTGAAAAGCCTATTTTCGACCCCCCTAATATATATAAATCAAATCCGAAGAAATACACCTAGGCGACTATCGGGCCTGTTGTGCGCTCCTTTACCAATGCCTCAGGTGGGATGCGAACCCACGATATCCGTGTACTAGACAATAAGACTAACCTTTCATGCAATAAAAGTATCATCCATTGACTAAACATCAAAATTTGTTTTTAATATTTTTTATTTGTTTTTGACAAAATTTTTCATTTTTCAATTAACATTAGTCATGTTAAAGATAACATTATCGTGTTAACTCCAGAGTGAAAATAATCTACACTCTGGAGTAGAATTTGTTTGTATGAAGAAGAAAGAAATATAATTTGCTGGAGTGTGAACGTAGCTTTAATGCGTTTATAATAGCAAAGGAATTATCACTTTTTCTTAGACATGTTTGAGCACTTAGACATGTTTTAAGTTATAATAGTGGCATTATTATACCCTACACAACATTAGTGGGGAGGGTATATAGGGTTGGAGCTTATGTTTGTAACGAACAATGGAACATGATTTTCTATTGTCTCAGTACGAAGCCTATTAAGTAAGGTTAAGACCGGTCCAATGAACCACTAAATATGGCTTGTAAACCTTGCAATCAAACTACAGTCTGCAATTTTGAAGATAATTCTATGTTTGGTACATGATCTTCTATATTTGGTACATGATCTTCTATTGTCCCAACGACGAAGCCTATTGAAAACGGTTAGGATCGGTCCATTATTTCACCTCGCCCCCATACAACTGAACATTCAGAAAAGGGCTTTTGAGCTCATAATTAGGCAGTACAATTAGATTTTATACTTGCCCCGACGAATGTTTTATGATCAAGACCTACTTCACCCTAACCGTCATATAAAGACCCCTTCAACAAATGAGTTTAATGTCCACAATTCACTTAATGGCATCAAAAAATGAAATTCTAAAAAATTGTGACTCGAGCTCTTTTCGAAATTACTGTATCAATTATACTTAAATGCTTTATTATGAAAAATAAATTAATTTTTTTTTTCCTTTAACTGGGTAGGGTATTATATGGTCGGCCACGCCCAACTATAATTTTTTACTTGTTTTATTGTAATGTACTGTCGGCATTAAAATCTAAATTTTCATAAAAAGTGGACTTATCACGTTTGTGAACTAAGCTAACGATATACCATTTATAAATCGTTATTATGCTAAATTAACTTATGTACCCACCCATACATTTTGTTATTGTTACAACTTATTAAGTTCGAACATATTTATATTGTAACAGTTTAAGTATAGCTTACCGACATTTTGATATTCTTCCAAGTTTTCGGTATCCAAAAGTTTATGGCATTTAACTGCAGAATTCATAAAATTAGTACTAAAAATTGTTCGCTTTACTGGTATTAAGAATGATTGATCATTTTTATGATTAAATGAATAAGCAATATTTTTATCTATATTAATTTTCATATTGTTCTTATTATGTTCCACCGCACACTTATAGATTCGTGCCTGTCTGCTTCTTTCGTGAGACTGCAGTTTGATAATAGCATCTACTTTATCTGCTTTACTATTGCAGTTTTTAATCTCTTTCGGCAAATGAAATTGTTCGCCTTTATTAAGCGCAGATCGAATTTCGATAGGGCGTCTATACATAAAATTTGGCGAACGCCAAATAAGCAGATCGTAAGGAGTTAGTTTACGTTCTATCAATGATTTATCCAAATATACGTATTCGCTTAATTCAATGTTTTTTAATGAATATTTTAATTCTAATAATCGCTGTGTAGCTGGCTCGATAAGATTTTGGATGATGTTTTTTTTCTGAACTTGCACTGTCTCTGTATACAGATATCCTAGCTTTTGGACCAATTCAACGTACAGAATATATATTTGCGATAACATCTGAAATGTTATTATAGGATCTTCAATGGGTTCCTTCTTTTTCAAAACATTTTGCCTTCTTATTAAATGTTTTAAATCTTTTTTTGTAGCCACCCAAAATTTGTAATTGAATTCAAAAGACATTTTAACAAAAAAATTTTTAATTACTTTTATAAATTAAAATGATGAAATGTACACTGAAAATAATAATAATAGCCACACTGAAACAAAAATTAACCTAAATACTACAAAATGGGGTGTAAAGAAATGTTGTTATTATAGATGGTATTCTTCCCGGTATTTACCCAATGTATGGGTAAATTGAGGGTAAATACCAAGTATATATTTTCTTTCTTTAAATTTTTTTTATAAACTGATTGACAATCACTTCATAAATGTTTTCAAATATTTTTTTTTTACATTTCAAAAAAATGCGTCCAAATGCATTACGTTGCATACAAATTGTAAAGAATGAATATATCAGTGATGCCTGTAGTTACATATGTATGTAGTGCATCCATAAATGTTAATTTTTTTAGTTTCAAAAATGGGAAGTTCTATACGAGAACAATACCAGAAATACCACCTACCAACTGGTGGAAAAGCTTAAAAGTGTTTTATAGCACGTAATTGGAATCTCTTAAAAAAACGTCTACAAAAGAACACATACATACCTATAACTTTTATCACATTTACAGATGCAGCATCCACTTTATATACATAATTTAATAATAAATTAGTTAATTTTTACTTTTTACAATCCGCGTGTTTAAAAAATTTTGTACAACTTTGTTTATACCCAGCTTTTTTTTAAACACCTGGGTATTTACCCATTATCCATTTTACTGGGTATTTACCAATTTGGTTTTTACCCTTTTCCCATCTCTAGTTTTTATTATACCCAAACGAAATTTTTATTCCAGATTACAGATTTTTTCGTAAAATTTCTATATTTTAGTAAATAGTAGGGTGATCGATTATTCGACATTTTCCAAAAACCGGTTTTCGAATAGTTCGAATAGTTGACATTTAAAAAAAACCGGTTGATATTTTTCAAATTCAGAAAAAACCGGTTAACCGGTTTTTCATTATAAATAAAAAAATATATTTTAATTTGAAAAAAATAATGTTTATGTTTAAATTTGATTAATAAAACATGGCCCGAAATGATTTTTAACAGTTTAGAACTTTAGATCTAGTCGTCTGATTTACATTATTTCTTTAAAATAAAAAAAATAGGAAAAAAGTGGGACACTTCTGTTAAACATAAGGTACTATGTAATCCTAGCTTATTCTAAAAGCCCTGTTTAGAAAATTTGCATAGGAATTCCAACACTTCCATAAAATTTCAGCCGTAAATTAATTATTATAATTGGAATATAATCTTAAGATTGATAAAATTTGATCAAATAGTTATCAATTTTGCAAATAATTTTTTTTAATTAATTAGGAAAATCAAAAATGTTTAACCAAAGGAGCTTTAGAAAAATATACGCTAGTTCCTCGACTCGAATATTTTTAAAATTTAGACGGGCTGTATTATAATTTACTTAAAAATTTCATTTAAATAATCGATATTCGATATTCGAAAAATCAGCATTAAGAAAAAACCGACACTGGTAAAGCAGAAAAAACCGGTTTTAAAACCGGTTGAAAAATCGAGTCGATCACCCTAGTAAATAGTTAATATGAAGAAAAGTCTTCATATTTACTAATTTCGTTTCGTTGCTTAGGGTGGTAAATGTGAAAAAATTTATGTTAAATTAACTAATATTTTTTATTTCTTATAACTAATTGAATATTTTTTGTTGGTTTCGAAGAACTTTCTTCAAAATTTAGTTCTCATGAATAATATTTTTATTCATAATGAATTTTTCTTTATTTTTACATCCTATTTTTGTTCATTAATAAATTCCAATAAACATCTTCGTTCACTATCTGAGACAATGTTTATATAAATTATAAACAGTAAAGTATTTTTAAAGAATTTATGTAAATTATTGTAATTTTTCTTTACTGTTTATAGGTTATATAAAGTTGTCATTGATAAAGTCATAAAGTTGTCATTATTGACAAATAAAAATTGAAGAGAGCAACATTATATAATTAAATTAATAAGTGAAAATTTATTATAGGAATTAATATAAATAAGTAAATTAATATTTAAGCAAATATTGCGAAAACATTTTTAAAGACGTTTTAGTGGGTAAAAAACAAGTTTGAGAAATATTGTAAAATTTTTTTATCTATGTACAGTTGATCATAAAAATAGGTATGCAGAATTACTGACAATTGTTTTATTAAAAAAGGGATATTTAAAAAAAAAAAAGTAACACATTTATTTATTAAAAAAATTGTGATAATTATTATTCACTACTTTTTTGATTATTGGATATTTTGATTACACAAGTTTATAAATTAATATTTTTTGTTTGCTCATGAAATGAAACATATATTTATGGAAAGGGCTATGTCCGGTGGTTAATTAACAACCTTTATTTTTTTCCTATACGTCGAAATTTTGAGATAAAGTGTTTTTTATTAAGCATCCTTCTTCAGTAGTGCTGGAAAAATATTTGAATATGAGAATTGTTTTTTGAGTACTTGCACCTGTTTTGGGAAACTAACAACCAACTTAGAAAAAAATTTTACCATTTTTTTTTTTTTTTTTTTTTGTACCCAATTTTTAGTAATTGTTTTTAATTAAGAAAAATTAAATTTCAAAAAAATTATTGACATTTTATTCCAGAATTGCAAACTTACGGATCTGGATTTATTCCCCATAATTCATTTCTTACATTCTCATTTATACTTTTTCTAGAAAACTCTTAGAAGTGTGAGTGATAAAAATGGCTTATATTCGCCAAGATTTAAGATTATAGCAACTTAATTTTTAATATTTTCGTGACAGGAATCCATTGTTAGAGTGTTGTAAGAAAGACCAGTAAAATTTTTTATATAAAAAATAACTACAACTCTAAATATTAAATTTTTTCCTTCTAATTTAACCCTTTTTTAGCATTTTTTTTTCTTTATGACCCAGCAAAAAATAATTGATGTCATACTTTACAAACTACATCTTAATCACATCTTAAAATGCGATTACATATTTTTCACTTTTATAAACCAAATATTTCCTTACAAATGAAACCCCAGTTAAAAGTGAGGAAAGAGATGTGGAAAAGTCATTACAAATAACATATTTGAAGTACATCAAGATTTGGTGAAAGAGTAGTGAAATTTACATAAGCGTGTCATTAAGAGAATGTGTTTTATTTTTGACACCCAAATATCGGATTTTTACTGCTTCTAAAAATAAGATCAGATGTAGTTCAAAGCTGCCAAAAATGAACAACATCCCTCCAATGACACGCTAATGTAAAATTCATAGGTTTTACACCCGAATTTGAAGCACATCGGGTTACTAGTTGTGATGAAAATTCTACATCTTTTTCCACACTTTTTTTGCTGGGGAATAATTCAAAAATTCTGCGTCCTAGATTTTTTTAAATATTTTTTCTGGACTTAGACGGCCAAAATAAAGAAATCCATATAAGTAAGTACACAAATTATTTCAATATACAATCGATTGCTTCAATTGAACGAAGCAATAGATTTTAACCAAAGATAGATTTTAATATTAACATGGATATAACCCACAACCAATTACCAAAAATACAAATTAAATTTACCCAAATATTTTAAATATTCGTGGATAAATTCGCTTATTAAGAGTTTTTTTAACCTCTTCAAAAAGTATTTATATAAAACTAAGTACTCCTTTTTTTATAGATTATTTAACACATTAATTTGAATTAATACATTAATTTACAATCATTAACTAAAAATGATGAATTTATTAGATTAAAAAATATGAGGATTTTAATTTATTTATGCATTTAATTAGTGGAAAGGGTGTGCTTCATTAGTTTTTCTTGAAAGAAAAATCTTTGATGCAAATATTTGTGTGGTTAGCCAATAACCGCTTGTTTCTGAATTTAAATGAGTAAATAATATAAAAACCGTTACAATGATAATCTACATATATGTATAAAGTTTTGAAATAAAATTTCATACACATGACCGAACTTTTTTCAATGCATTTAATGCAAAATCGTACTTTTATCTTACGGCTTATCGATTTTGGTATAGGCTTCTTTGTCAGCTACCGATAAATATTTAGTGTTAAAAATTTTAATCAGCGGTTAAGGTATGCTTCGTCGAATTATCTTGAAACACAAGTTACACCGCGTTTTCAGCGAAAGAGAAATTTTGATGAAATTTATTTTGCAGTTAACATAAACCTTCTTACCTGCAATAAACTGCCTCTTTTATTTCTAAATTTAAATGAATTCTTAATTTAAAACAAGTAAGAGTGCAGCTATATTCGGCTGTGCCGAATCTTATAAACCCTTCACCAGGGTATTTAAAAAATATCAATTCTATAAAATTTTAATTTATTTCATTTTCCCGTTTATATGTTTATTATAGCAATAGCAAAACGAACAACAACAACGCTAAACGAAATAAACACACAAAAAAACAAAATACACAAGGCAGTAAAACCAACAGCCATCCAAACATACGAAACAAAATACACAACCCAATGAAACCAACAGATTTCCAAACATACGAAACTGAATACACCAAAAAGCAAAACAATATGTATACACAAGGCATCAAAGTATATTAATTTACTTTGCAAGGCATGAAACATACGAAACGAAATACTCAAAAAAGCAGAAACAAAATACACAACGCAATGAAACCAACAGACATCCAAACATACGAAACTGAATGCACCAAGAAACAAAAACAATATACACAAGGCAATGAAACACACAGCCATCCAAACATATGAAACGAAATACTCAATGAATAAGCAGTGTTGTTGTTGTTGCATATATCAAAGCATGAAAAAAAAAAATTGTCTTTTTTATGAAATTTTCAGAGGTTGTCTCGGATTTTTGCCGATTTTGCTGATTTTAAATAGCGATTGAAGATTCGGATCTCGCCGATATCTGGGGTGCTCTAAAAACTGATTTCAACAAACACACAGACAGACAGACGGACATAGCTTAATCAACTCCACTACCTATAAGGATCCAGAATATATATACTTTATGGGGTCGGAAAATTATATTATAGAAATTACAAACGCAATGACAAACTTATATATACCCTTCTCACGAAGGCGAAGGGTATAAAAAAACGTTAAAATGAAAACCAGTTCGGTTAATTTAAATTTTGTAAACAAATTGTATATTTACATGAACGAACTTTTTTATACTTTTTTAATGCAAAAACGTACTTTTTTTCGAACGGCTTATCGATTTTCGTATAAGCATCATTGTCAAGTACCAGTTGATGTTTAATGTTACCAATTTAAATTAGCGGTTTGTGTGTGCTTCATCGATTTTTTTTTCCACAAAAGGCCTTGATTAAATTTTTTAATGCAAACCAATTCTTTCTATATAAAGATTGATTACTGATAAAATTCAGAATTTAAAATTTGTTTATAATGCAAAAAAAAAAAATTTAAAATTCGCAATTTTTTTTTTATTTATCGCAGCTTTATGATTTTACAATTTAAAAGTATTTCGATCACGCGATATTTCGCGAAAACGCCCTTTTTAGAAACTTTCACGTTCATTTTTCCAATATTTATGCTTCACCTACAGTGATATCTTCTAGAGCATATTTTGGATATATATGTACATACATCAAACGACGCATAATTACAATGTCTATTTTTTCTTATTTCAAAATTTTCCATAACTTCTTCGGTCGCAAATATTCTATACAAAAAACTGCAAATTTTGTAAAATTGTATAAATTTTGTTTCAAAACTTTGCGACCCCGTAATTCTTTACTTAATAATCATCCAAAAATTTTATGGACTTATTCTTTCAAGTCTTGTGAATAAAAATTCGTCATTACTTAAGATATTAAACGAAAGAAATATTTAATGCATAAATTTTATTTCTTAAAATCAAAAACAAACAAAAAAATCCCATATACATATGTATTTTCAATTTAAATCTTATTCAAACAAATTTAAAATATCGTACGATTTTCAATTTTCCATCCGTATTTCCGTAAGATACATTTATATCTGCACTATTATACTATTTTTATTTGAATTTTTGACATGACGTTTTACTTTGTAGAATATTAAATATAACATTTTAATTTTTTTTAATTTATTTATTTTTTTATGTATATTACGGTTGGTATCATACACGAAATTTATCTATATTATTTTTTTACAATAATATTTTCAATAATAACAAAATTTTCCAAAGTATGTTTAGCACATTTAAATACATCTTTGTTTTGTGAATTACGTGTGTATTATTGTTAATTTTTATCAAAAGCAAACAAATATATCAGTTTTTATATTAAATATAGAAACAAATGAATTAAAACATATTTTGTTGGTAATGGAAAAAAACACCAAATCCATGTATGACGTATAAACACATTTTTTTATATTTGTATATGTATGTATAATTAGGGGATCCTAAACGAAACAACGATAGATTCTTTGTGTTCTATTTTAACCTCCTGTAATGCTATATGAAATTGTTCAATAGCATTATTGATCTGTAATTATTAAATTTATAAATTTCAAATATAACGCACAGAAAAATGTTTAATTATATACCTGTATAATATCATCAAAGAGAACAGGAGTGGCTAAATACCTTTCAGGGTTTGAAATATCCTTCAAGATACCTGAAATTAAATAAAACAAAAAAATTTATATATTTTTGTAAAAGCATTGAAATTTGTCGAAATTTAATATTAAAACTTATAATATATAATATACATACATACATATATATGAGACTCATTTTACTACATAACTACTAAACTTTTTTACATAAAATTCGGCATATAAATAGGGGTAACCTCAGAAGTTAAAAAAGACTATATGATATTGATTGGATGCTGCGCACAGTTTTGTGTTCACTTTTAGAATAACAGCTATAACACCAAATTTCTAGGCTAAATATAAAAAAAAATATATGAACCGATTTTCAAGAAATTTGGCAACAGTGTATTTTTTGAATCAACTTTTTGATCTGAATTTTATGATTCATGAAATTTTGAATGACAATAGTTCTATCGTGAAAGGTTAGGTTAGTTTGAGCAAGATCCAAATAAATACACCTATAGCACTAATTTCGGGCCTGTTGTGATCTTAATGAAATGCAATGACCTTTTTCCGTCCACTTTTTGTTACATTTATAATGCTGAAAATCATGATATAAGTATAATTCTTATAGTATATGAAAATTGTTATTTAGTTATATTTTTAATCAAAAATGTATTTTTATTTGAAAACTCTAAAATGTTTGTAGATCCTTAACTAACTTTACGAATAGGTAAAATTAAAATTAATTTAATTAATTCGATTTTCATCTAAAGCGTAAAATCGGTTGTAGATCCGTATATAATACTCCCATCACTTATATTTTCCACCGGAAAACTATTCTTATTTCAAAACCTGTAATCGGCTATATATCCTCAAAAAATAACTATTTTAAAACAGAATCGGATATAGTTTGCAACGATCGAGAAAATGGCATATGCAATTTTTTATCAAAAATATAAAATTTAAATTTATTGTTAAATCGAGATAACAATAAAAATCTGTGATCAGTTATATATACCATCAAAAAATTATCTTTGAAATCTTCCAAATTTTTCATGATTTTATGCAGAATTTTTCATAATCGTTTCTGAGTTTCTTCAATTACATGTAATTTTTTGTAGTTAATAAACTGACTTTAAGTATTAAACCAAATGCAGAAAATATTATAACTATTTTATCGTTATAAGCTAAATTTTGACATCTACTTAAAAAAAAAAGTTACTTTTCGAAGAAACCCGGGCAATGCCGGTTACACGCAGATAGTTAATAATAATTAAACAACTAAGGGCCAATCTTTAGGTGAAAGATTAGCGATTAAATTAAAATTAATCCTCGAAAGTTGTCTTTGAGTACTCAATTAGTTAATTTTGTTTGTAAGTTTAAGCGCCCAATGGAGGTGGTTTAAATTTAAGTATGAAATGCAAACGTGTAAACAGCTGATGCAAAAAAAAAATAATACAATTTTTATAAATATAAACATTAAAATGTTCTATTTATTGATTAGTATAAATTATACACACTCAAAATACGTTTTTTTTTTTTAAATTTAAGTTTTCATTAATTTTCATATTAAATTTACATGCATTGTTTTGATAACAAACAGTGACATTTTCTGTTGTTTTGTATGGCAACACTGCGAATTTTAATCTTGTACTCAAAAACATCAAAGAGGATTAACATCAGACATCAGACAACATTAATTAACTAATCTGATTATTAATTGGCATTTGATTGCCAACTCAAAAACCCGCTCTAAGAATGATAATTCACTTGAATTCATAGAGTAGGAATTTGTAACCGATTATGGCCAATAGGCTAGGTTTATTTTGGATAAAAAATTAAAATAAAATTATTAAGAAATCAAAATAAGTCAAGGGATTATGCTTTTAGAATTAAAATTCAGAGAATGATTTTAATGAATACATTCGAAAATTTTAAGCCAAATTGAAAATTAGAGTGGTGTATTCAAATATTTAAGCCGAATTAAAAATTTAATTGAATAAATTCCAAATAGAATTTGTTCTTTCCAAGCTTCGATATGAACATACAAAATATTTTCTAAAAGCCCACAGATGATTATTAAAGAATTATATTTAATTATATTACTACTCATTGATCTCAGGTATTTATTATTACTATGTAATATTGTTATTTTGGCCGCGAAGGCTTAGTATTACAAAATAAATGAATAAATAAAAACAAGTAAGAGTGCTATATTCGGCTGTGCCGAATCTTATATACCCTTCACCATAGTGTATTTAAAAAATATAAATTTTATAAAATTTAAATTTATGTACCTATTTAATTTTCCCGATTATATCATTATTATAGCAATAGCAAAATAAAATGAACAACAACAACGCTAAACGAAATAAACACTCAAAAAACAAAATACACAAGGCAGTAAAACCAACAAACGAAACTGTACACCAACAAACAAAAACAATATACACAAGGCAATGAAACACACAGCCATCCAAACATACAAAACTGAATACACCAAGAAACAAAAACAATATACACATGCCAATGAAACACACAGCCATCCAAACATGTGAAACGAAATACTCAATGAATAAGCAGTGTTGTTGTTGTTGCTTATTAATCAAAGCATGAAAAAATTGTCTTTTTTAATGAAATTTTCAGAGGTTGTCTCGGATTTTTGCTTATATCTCCGTCATTTATGGACCGATTTTGCTGATTTTAAATAGCGATCTTCTCGAAAGCATGTCTAACAGAATTATTGAAGATTCGGATCTCGCCGATATCTGGGGTCCTTTAAAAACTGATTTCAACAGACAGACAGACGGACATGGCTTAATCGACTCCGCTATCTATAAGGATCCAGAATATATATACTTTATAGGGTCGGAAAATTATATTATAGAAATTACAAACGGAATGACAAACTTATATATACCCTTCTCACGAAGGTGAAGGGTATAAAAATGGGCCCATATGTGGATCTTGGGTCAAATGTAGTCTGATTTATTTATTTACAATTGAAAACTCAATTAAAAGTGAGGAAAGAGATGTAGAAAAGTCATTACAAATAACATATTCGAAATTCATCAAATTCCATTCACACTGTTTTTGCTGGGTAGTTTAATAGATTCTTCATTATGATGACCATTATGATACAACCTTTATTACAATTATGGACCGATAAAACTTTTTCAAAAGTTACATTGAATGTGTACAAATCATTCTTAAGATAAGCTTTACAAATAACATAAAAGTTTTTCTTTAAAATACATTCATTTTTAACAAAACTGACAGAATAGTGTTTTTCAGTTATTCTTCTAACCTATAACAAATTCGTATTGAAATATTGATTTTGCACACTCCTTTACCTTTGGCTTGAGAACTATTTCCATTCACATTCACCAAATACATTTTCATCTTAAATTTACAATTATAATAATTGTTTTGCTTGAGCGAAACAAACCTTTCTTAAATCTTGATTACCTTTAATATCTTGAATGTAATTCTTTATTTATTTTCTTAATTATTCCATTAAATAACAATGGCCCATAACCTATTACATTTAATGTTTCTTGTTGGAATAGTTTAGAATATATGGTTAAATTCAGAAATTTTTTTAAAGTTCTGAGTATGAAAAAAGTGTGCATTTTTTTTGATGGATTACACGTGTAGACCTGCTTTCAACTATGCCAAATCTGTTCGCGTAAATGTTTTTCAAGAAGGTATGTCAAAGTTAATGCGGTTTTTTAACAAATTTTCAAAAATACATTTCTCAATATTATTAAACAAAAGTTTAAGAAATTGAAATTCGTTTCATGCTCCTCTAAAAGGATATCTTTATTGTAGTTTTTATCAATAACGTCATATTTAATTTTTTTTTTTTGCAAATTATGTAATAAAATTTAGAGATAGAATTTTATTGGTATTTTGGAATTACTGTTCACAACAATTCAAAAAAAAATAATAATAATAAATCTTGAAGGGTTTAATAGATAATTAAATTCAAACAGCAAATTTCTAATAAAATGAACATAATTTTATATGAAATGCTAAACATTTATACCCAACAGAAAATTTATAGCTTACTACATTGATATTGTGTTGCTTATTTTGTATTCGAAAGTGCTTACAAACTTACACACACTCTGGCTTACTTTACACAGGGTATGACCGCTTGAAAATGACACACTAACTGATATACTTGGTTTGCGATATTGTGTGTAGATTATACTTTTTTTATAATATACTTGTGTGTGGAAAAGTAGCTATTCCTACATTCTTGCCGATATACCTAGTAAGTAAAATTGTTTCTACAGCACCTTCCTAGCTGGAACACAAGTGTATCAAAAAGTATCTACAACAACTTTCTAGTTTAAATACATGTGTATTAAGAAGTATCTAAATATGTATGTTTTTTTAAAAAATGCTACCCAAATACATGTATCTACAAATTCATTCATATGTAAGTATAAGGACATTCCAATCATCACTAGATCATGATCCTAATTTTAAGCAACAAATTTTGCTTAAAATTCATCTAAACATTGAAAAAATGTTGATCCAAAAAATATTTTTCGATAAATGACAAATTTTTTGTTGATTAAATTATAGCACACTTGATTTTTTTATATTTTAAATTTCTGTTCTCATATACAATGTTAATCACAAGTATATTAAGATGTAATGCAAAAAGAATTTATTAAAAATTAAACTTCATATCCAGATTTTATATACAAGTAAATCAAATTATAAGTAACACAAAGTAATGCACACAACATTGGTTACAATTCCGAGTACTCTGAAAATTTTCTGTGGGGTAGTAACTGTTCAAAACTGCAATATTTTCGTATATGGATAAGTAATGAATAAAATTTTTGATTGGAACTCGTGGTAAGAGTTAATATACAGGCTTTTAGATGGTCATTTTAACATTGCATAATTTCTGGCGAATTTTGTTTTAAAAAATCTAAAACTATATTTTTATTGCGAATAAAATTTAAAACATGAAATGTGCTATCGATTTTAATTTAGGTAATGAAAAACTTCTATACTTTTAAATATAAGTGTGCCTCGGGAGGTATTTTCAAAAGTTTTCGTCGTCCTCCTATGTCTATTTCGGGCGCATCATCTGACATATCTCAAACGACGCATATTACTTCAGTTTGATTCTTTCTGAAAATCTAAACAAATTATAGATGAAACTTTATTAAAATATTGAGGAACGCGGCTACAATACTTCAAAGAATGTCGAATTTTTGTTTTGTCACATGCAAGCTTGTTGCTTTTAAAATTTAAATCTAATAACATTTAAGTATCGAATTTGCGAAACCTTTGAGTCAAAGTGTTTTAAATTCAAATATGGAGAATGTGGTGTCAAGTGACCCAAAGTCGATGTCTACCGAGTTCGATGAAATTTGCAACAATGTTAGTACTCTAGTAGGCCAGACACAAATTTTCAGCGCTATCGGCCCAGATCTGCCGATAAAGACTTCAAGGGTTTATAGTCACATAATGGGATGCGAGTGAGATATCTATCAAAAAATATTTTTTAATTTAAGAATAAGATTTTTTTCAATATTTGACACTTAATTTTACCCTATTTTTTCAAAATTGTCGTTTTTTTATTTTTGCTCAAATGAAAGGGCCTTGATGCGTAAAATCATATTCCGTAGGTATGTTCATCGATGTAAAAGACAAAATATAATTCGAACACAGGGAAAAAATTGAGAAAATTCTAGAGAATACTAGAACCGCAAATTCGTAGAAACGCCGCACTGGGCTTACATTAACAAACTGGTGTACGTTCAATTTTGGACCACCCTAATGTATATTATAGCTATGTACGCTTAATTTTTGGTTACAAATTGGAAATATGTTTATGGAATTTTTACTTGACTTTCTTAACGACTTAACATAGTGTTAATCAGTAACATAATATTTGGCAATAAAGTACAGTTCAAATAATCTATCAAACCAGAATTTTACTTTTGGTACCATAGGTTACATACCTATGGTACCGCTTTTTTAATTTTATATGCTTTATTATTCAATTTGTTTTAAGTTCTCACCTGTATACATTTTCGAAGGATGCTGGACATTACTCCACTGTTGTTGCAAACGTTGGGAATATAATTTAATTCTATCATCACATTCCTGATGCTCCAAATTATGAGAGTCCATGGCACCAACATCAATCATATTGCTAAATGAATTAAATTTTGTTATTTATTATTACTAGATATTTTTAGCTTACATGGCAGTATTTTGAACTAAACGACAAAGTGCGTTTTGATCATCTTTTTTTGGAAGTGAATGGGCGTAGTCATTGCTTATGTTATCAGAATTTGTTCTCCGAAGCGCTGGACTATTGTTTACTGGATCAGCTAAAAGGTGAGTACGTTCACTAGGCTCATACCCCTAAAAATAGTGGCCCATATAAGCATTTCAATTCTCGATTGAAACTTAGTACTTACCTGGTTGTTTAACTCTTCCGAACAATGTAAACAGCTACAAAATGTTGTAAAACAGTTCCATATAGGACGTAAATAATCCATTTTAAATAAAGAAATTAAATATGAAAGAAACAGCTGTAAAGAAGTGCAATGAAATTAGTGTTGCCATATTTATATATGATGTACACTAATAGAAAATTTGTTATTAAATAATTTATTAAGGGCCCTTCAGACGATCACACTTTACGTACGACATCCGTATTTTTTCTCAATGTGTGATGATTTACATATTGCGTTTAGACGATACCATCCGTTCTCCTCTACACAAAATTTTGACAGATCACATTACTTGTGTGCTCGTGTGAAAGGGGCTTTACAAATATTTACTAGTATATCATACCAAGGGTTTCCAAATTATCGACGTTTTTTGATTCCCGGCAATTGGGAATTCGATTACGATTAAAAAATCGTTTCCGCATATTTTTGAATTTGTTAAACAAAAATATATATTAGTCTATTTTATAACAGGTACCATGATGGAATAATAAGGTAAAGTCAATTCTACAAAAACAACAAAAGTTGTATACATGCTTATGTCAAAAAGTGTATATGTTGCCAGAGTGGTCGTTTTTTAATATATACCGTAAATAAAAAAAAATCCCACATGCCCAAAATGTCTCATTAACTAATATACATATGTATATTACAACTAAAAATTTTAAAATATGTGTATATATATCTATGAGTGAATTTGCTACAAATACACAATTTATTATCATGAATACAATTTTGATTTATGTATAATACATTAGAAAATTTTATTTTTTAATTATATTAAGGATCTAATCAAATTACAATTACCAACAAAGTATAATATTAGACTAAAAATTATTTTATAATTATAAATTTATATTATTTTAGTATCCTGAAAATTGAATTAATCCCTATGTAAATAAATTATTTATTTTGCATCTGGCAACTCAAAATGGTACATTTTGACATTTGTATACAACTTTCATTAAAAAAATAACAATCAGCTGTAGAATTGACTTCACCTTATAAGTGCACCATAGAAATATGTATCAAGACAAGGCGAATTCATATAAAGTGGTGTTATTCAATCAGCTGATAATTTTTTTCTTAATTCGCCTGGTTTACGTAGCTGTCAAAGTGTGTTATTGTTTACATTTTTATATTTCAAAATGTCCGTTAAACGAAGAAAAACTTCGTTAATATTTTGAATTATTTATGTAAAAAATCTGAAAATACCAAGCATCTCGTAACCAAATATCATTTTATTTAAATAATGTCATAATTGGTATGTATACAAATATGTTATTTAAGAAAAATATTTTTTTCTATTAAACGTTAACATATTACACAATATTGTTTTATATTTTATATTAAAATTGTGTAGATAACGTGATTAACTAAAAAAAATCTCTTCCGGAACACTTAATATTAAGAAACGCATATTAAGTATTTACCCGGCTGGCGCGGGCTTAATTTTAAAATCTATTAAATGTTAACAAATTAAACAATATTGTTTTATATATACACTATGGAGATAAAGAGATTAACTTAAAAAAGTCTGTTCCGGAACGCTTTATATAACAAAACCCATATGAGGTATTTACCCGCCCGGGGCTGCTACATTATGGCCAAATATTGAAAATTACTCCGCCGGAGTAGAATTATCCATTAGCAACAAATATTCATTCATTCGTAATATAATATTTTCATGAATATGTACTTTTTCACAAAAAATTAAGATTTACTTAACTTCAGGCACTCACTTAAACTTTGCAAATTAATCTGCCGGAATAGAATTTTTCATTTGAAACAAACATTATTCAATTCAGAATATATTTTCCTCACAAATTTTAATATCTTGATCTTTATTTTTTAATAAAATATAAACTTTTTATAAAAATTGTTCATCAAATGAATTCGCCGTACTTCTGGTTTTTGACATCTACGTAAACCAAATGCAAAAACAAAATACATGTAAAATGTTGTTGTTGCAGAACTGCCACCACCTTATCTGAATTCGCCTTGTATCAAGATATATTAATTATAAGTTTTTATATATATCAAGGTATATTAATTTTATAAGGTAGTGTCATCGGCGAATTCAGAATACCAAGCGAATTGGTTATATTTTTTTATATGTAGTTTGACATTGTGCCTGCACTTGAAGGCGAATTGGCTGTAAGGGAAAAATTTCAAAAACAGCTGACAAATACATCAAAGCGAATTTAAATTAAACAAAAAATGTTTATAAATTTGAATCTGTTTATAATTTATTTTGATGTTTTAACTTTTAAAGATTAAAAACACAAAAATATACCCTAATCACACAATTTCACTTTAATCACAAAATTTACATATACAAAATGAAACCAGTTTGACATTAACAAAATGAAAACAAAGTTTGACATTTACAAAATGTAAACAAAGTTTGACATTAATTATACACCACGGCGAAAAATGAACATAATAGCAAAAAACGATCAGCTGTTCTGATAACACTACCTTATAATTAATATATCTTGATATATATTATTATGTTCATTTTTCGCCGTGGTGTATAATTAATGTCAAACTTTGTTTACATTTTGTAAATATCAAACTTTTTTTCATTTTGTTAATGTCAAACTGGTTTCATTTTGTATATGTGAATTTTTTGATTAAAATGAAATTGTGTGATTAGGGTATATTTTTGTGTTTTTAATCTTTAAAAGTTTAAACATCAAAATAAATTATAAATAGATTCAAATTTATAAACATTTTTTGTATAATATAAATTCAGCTGTTTTCGAAAATTTTCCCTTACAGCCAATTCGCCTTCAAGTGCAGGCACAATGTCAAACTATATAAAAAAATATAACCAATTCGCTTGGTATTCTGAATTCGCCAATGACACTACCTTATAAAATTAATATACCTTGATATGTATTTGCTTCTATCTGTGTATAAGAATTATTTTCCTCCATATCGTCAGGGGATGTTCACGTAAAGCTACGATGGAAGATATTTTTTATAGAGCCATGGATACATCCGATTCCAAAATATCTACGGAAAGCTTACGTTTTAGAATAGGCCGAAACAAACATTTACCACTCCCAGAAGCTGTCATTAATCTACTAGATATACCCTAAATTTCAAAAGCAATTAATTTTATAGAAAATGAAGAGAATGATTGGGAACAACTAGAACAATTTAACGGATTAAGTAACTTGGAACTTATTACCGAAAAGGATTAATTTATTACCCTAATGAATTTATATAATTATTTTTTTTTATTATTTTTATTTATTTTTATTAATATGGATAAGCTGCGAGATGTACGATAAAATATCAGGAAAATAGGTATTTCGCGGTATACCACAGGGTGGCATTTTGTCACCTTTACTCTGGGTTACCACGATTAATAGCCTCCTAAGGACCCTAACCGAGAAAGGACTTAGACCTGTCTGCTATGCAGACGATGTTGTAATACTTTTAAAGGGAAAGGATCCAAATTACTTGTGTATTTGTCTTGAGCTGGGCTCAACCGAGAGGCCTCAATGTTAACCCGGCGAAGACGAAAATCTGTATTTTCACAAGAAAGACAAAAATTTCTACATATACTGAACCTTGCTTCCTGGGCAAGAAGATACCGGTGACAGACAAAGTTAAGTACTTAGGTGTAATACTTGACCGGAAATTAAAATGGAGACACCACATAGAGGATAGGATCAACAAGGCACATCGGTGCTGGGCGATATGTAGGAGAACCATAGGCATGAAATGGGGTCTTAGTCCTACTATGACAAATTGGCTTTATAAAAGTGTAATTAGACCAATTCTAGCTTATGCTTCAATAATCTGGTGGACTGCTTTAGACAAAAAGTGTAATATCAAACTACTACAGGGAGTTCAGCATACATGCTACTTGGGTATAGGTGGTGCCATGTGTACTACTTCAACCAAGGCTCTGGAAACGTTGCTAGATATTCTACCCATTGAAACATATATAAGATATGAGGCGGCGCTTACAGCCGAACGGCTCTTTACTTTAGGCGAAAACGGTTATATGACACGTCATCAATATATACTGGACACATTGGAAGGTTATACACATTCATCGGACGTGCCTGATCGCATACCAGACACAGAATATGTCGGAAACTTTGAAACGCTAATCCCAGATAGAATGTCTTGGTCAAGCGGAACATTAGAGCAAATACCAGTAGGAATCCTTTGCTACACGGATGGCTCTAAATTAGGGGACAAAGTGGGCCTGGGGTTCTATATTGAAGACCCAGAAACAGAAATATACCACCGTTTACCTAATCATAAAACAAGCTTCCAGGCAGAAGTACGAGCAATAACGGAATGTGTAAATTGGATTAGAATAAATATGGCGCCCACAGGGCTTACTATATTTACTGACAGCCAGAAGGCAATTAGGGCGATATCTGGTGATAGAATTAAATCTAAGACCGTATTGGATTGTAAGAAAGCTTTAACTGAATACTCTCCCAGAGGTAAGGTTCACATCATATGGGTACCAGGCCACTCGGGAGTAGTCGGCAAAGAAAGGGCGAATGTAATGGCTTTAAAGGGAAGGGAGCTCAATGTAGTTAACCTGACAAACGCAAAACCATTCGACGCAACAAAAGCTGAATTAAAAATATGGATGATAGAATCCCATAAGGCCTCTTGGAATAATAAAACGGTGGGTAGAACCACAAAGATTCTATGGGGTGACCCTGATGAGAGCAAGACGAGAAATCTCTTCAAAATGAGCAAGTCTGAGGTTAGCATGGTGGTACGTATTCTGAGTGGACACACAGGATTACGTGCACATCTATACAAAATTGGACGTGCGGAGATGAATGTAGAGCATGTGGAGAGGACAGTGAAACTCTGGAGCACTTTCTTTGCCACTGTCAGGTATTCTTCGAAGTTAGATCCAAGTATCTTGTAAGTGATGTTATTCCGGAAATAACATTCTTAACCAACACTGATTGGAAGATTCTTAGGAATTACGTCCAGGAAACTGAGTTTCTGAACATGGAAAAATAATACATTCAGTGAACAATTTTTTTTGTTTTTTCATGAATTGGAGCGCACAACAGGCCCAATAG